CCCGGCCTGCCCGGCCCGACGCGGCCCCGCTCGACCCGGCCCGGCCCGCGCCCCCCGCCACGCCGCGCCCCCCCCCACCAAGGCCCCCCCGCGGCCGGGCGGGGGCGGCGGGGCCGCGACACAAGAAAATAAATCGTAACGGGAAACTCACGGGCTCGCCGGGCTATGCGTCACGCCGGGGTTACGTCCTGCGCGCGCCGTCGTGACGTCATCGCGCAAGCCTCCCGACCGCCCCGCCACTCCACGCGCGCCTACGGACACACGCGCGCGCGTGCACGCGCCCCGAAGTGGGCGGAGCGCGCACGCGCACGGCCCCCTCCCTTCCCCCACAGGGAGCGTGCGCCCCTTCCCACCCTCTCCCCTCCCTTCCCGTCCCCTCCCCTCAGAGGGCGCGCGCTTCCCGCCGCGCGCGTTCCCACGGGGCGCGCGCCACTCCCGTCCCGAGCGCGCTCCGGTGGCGCGGAGGAGACACCGCCCGGGAGGACGGGCCCTAACAGCCCCCGCGGCCTCTCCTCACCTCCGTGCCCGCAGACCTGGAAAACCAGGTCAGCGGCGGCGGGATCCGCGTCGCGGTGTTCCCGTGCCGGCGGGAAGGCAGGCGGAGGCTGCTGAGGGCGGTGCCGGGGGTGCGGAGAGCCGAGCGCGGGGGACACGGCCCGGGCCCCGCCGGCCCATGCAGGGGGCGGGAGGCCACGAGGTGACACCAGGAAAGCGGAAACATCCGGTGCCATTCTCTCCTCAGATGAACGCTCTGAGGGAAACCCCGGTAAAGGGGGAGAATGGTAAATGCGCAGAGACTGCTTGGATGAATTAGATTTTTTCCCTTCAGATTTGCCAGGCCCGGAGGATTTCACGTCAGAGAGATAAAGGCAATGTCAGAGATGTGAGCAGTGGTCAGAGAGCTCGGGAGGACACTAGATTTCAGGAGAGAGGAAGAGGGAGAACATGGCACATAAAATTCCAAAGGGGGGAATAGGTCAAGAACTGTCAATCATTCTAGCCTCCATTCCCAGAAAAGTACTGAAGCAGATAATCACACATCTTTAAGTACATGGTAGCTAATGAAGTGATAAGCTACAGCCAACATGAATTTGTCAAGAAAATCACATCAAGCCAAGCTCATCCCATGCTGTGACAGTGTAACAGGCCCTGGATATGAGTAGCCCTCGATCTGTTATGGCTTGACTTGAGTAAGGTTTTTGACACTATCTGAGAGAACTCTTAACTGAGCAACCAGAAGACATAACATACTGAAATGACTGCAGTGGTACAAAATTACATCAGCAATGCTTCCCTGTGACAAATAGTGGGAACAGCAAATTCCCTGCATGTCCTGAGTTTGGTACCAAGTCTAATGATATGAGTGGCAGAGTACAGTTTACATGGACTGGATTTGCCAGCAATGCGAAATGGCAGAGCTGGAAGCACGTTGCAGCGCAAGAAAAGAATTCAAAATACTCTTTAAAAAGTGGTTGTAGAAATAGGATGCAATTGAATAAATACAAGTGCAAACTTCAACATTTAAGCAGGAAAATAACAACAGCACAATTGCAAGACTGGGAACACATGAATAGACACCGGATTTACAGAAAAGGGGTTGGGGATCAGAGTAAATCACAAACTGAACATGCATCAACAATGTCACACTGTTGTGAAAAAAGCTGCAGAACAGAGAGATGTGTAAACAGAACTGTCATATCTAGGACATATGAAGAATTTCTCATATTTAATACTGGTAAAGGCTCATCTCTATGTTCAGATTTGGTCTCTGCATTTCAAGAAAAATTTCTTTCAAAAAGTCCAATAGAACACAGTACAAGGAAGGGAGGAAAAATCAACATTTTTAAAAGATGTAACCCTAATTGAAAATAGGAATGTGTCTAGTGAATAAAAGACTATGGGGAGAAAAATACATTTTCCACTGAGTCCATTGAAGACAGGGCAAAACTTAATGGTTTCAAACTGTACTGAAAGAAATTTCGGTTAGATGGTCATGGATAACTAAAACTGGCATATATTCTCTATAGGGTTCTGGAAACGTTATTAGTATCTTTTTTAAAAGATAAGAAAAATTTACATAAGAAAAATTTAGAAGCATTTGATTTTGCTGTGAAGTAATGGAGACAGACTAGGTAATAATTGTTTTCAGCATGATTTCCTGTAACTGTAGTTACTATCCAGATATCTGTTCTGATCCTAATTTTTTTTCTGATAAAAGTGAATCCCAGAGACATTTCAACATCTAATGTGTTGTTGTGATCTTATGCACAGGTGTAGATATCCCCTTTGGGAGTCTTTGTCATGTTACCTTGAGTATAGCTGTGTGCCAACATATGTCACATGCTCAGCTAATTTGCTAATTTATAAACTTTATATATTATGATAAATTCCACATTTAAAAATAATGTGTTTGTTAGTGCTCACATAACCAGTGTGTATTGAGGCTTTTGCTTTTCTTTGCTTTTTTTTCATGGTACCAGAGACTAATTTTCCCCAGAATCCATTAAATTTGGGGGGTTCTCTGGAGCTTGCCAGTTAGGAGAAAGCAGTGTGAATGGTTTATGTTGTGGGACTGAGACCTACCAAACTCAAGTCATTAGAGATGACTAAAAGACCATTAAATAGGCCAGTTTTTAATCTCCACTGAATTCAAACTGATAGCCCACAGGCAAAAGGCTATGAATTTCATTAACAGTACCCTAAAGCACTCAGTCCCCTAATGAGTGCTAATATTATTCTTCTGAGAGTTAAGCTTGTTTTCTGAAAATATACATTTATAAAATCGAGTTCTGATATTTTGGAGCATGTATGGACAGTTTTTCCACTGCTTTTAAACACAAGAAACATGATCATCTTGTGCAATCCATGGAGTTCTTGTAAGATTCTCAGTCATATGTGCTCCATGCTAACAAAAGTACAAAGAATGAAAACATGAAAAAGCAAATATTAATACTACCCCAATGCTTCTTGCTAAATATCATATATTTTATTGTATGTGATCATTTGAAGGTCATCACACTTACTTAAGTATATTTTGTCCCCTAGCATGTAACTTTTCAGAAACAGCAATTCTCACTGCAATTCTGTCATTTATAGTTAAAGGAAAACACCAAATTCCATAAAAGCATTAACCTCTAGAAGATGGAGTGTTTTATTATACTTCACATCTATTTGTGAACAGGTAAAATGCTTAGCATAAGGAAATCTTAACTTTAGTTCTAATGCTGCCAAATCCCACAATTTATTAAGAGTTTAAAGGTATCTAGCAATCTTTTTAATCTCTCAACTTAGCACTTGAACTAAAAGGCCCGATTCCATTAGCAGTAGTGGACTCTAAAAAATACTTATAATTCACACAATCTGTGGATCAAAAGAAAAATCCACATTTGGCATGAATGGAGAACCTAACTGCAGTATTTCATCAAAATGGCAGGGTGGGAAAAGATTATGTCCAGTGGTGTCAGAAGTCCTGTTTCGATTTCTAATTCTGCTTCTATTGCCACTCATAATATATGAAAAGTAGTAGATGATCTTAAAGGTTGCATGTTGGATTAAGAAGACTTGAGAAATATACACAAAATGACAGAAATTGGGATTGCATATGTGCATGAAGTAGAAATTTTAGGACCAGCCTCCAGTGAGATACTCTAAGATCAGTGTGGCCAGTAAAGAACCATACAATAGGATTCTTGAAAATCAAGCCAGATACTGCACAGGTGGTTTTTTGTTTGCAGGAATTCTGGCTGTGTACTGTATTATTTCTCCACCAATGCAGACAAGGCCTAATAATGGTTTTAAAACAGCATTTGAAAACCTCTTGAGAGAAGGTTGCTACCTAGTTCCTTCTGGTCTTCAACAAGGCTAGAAAAAGTTTAAACCAAGGCAGGATTTTTCAAGTTAGCAGCAAAATATGATTAACTGAAACCAATTTAGAAACTGTTTCTTCATATAAACATTTTTGTAGCTGAAGTTGCAGAGGGAGGGTTGGAGCAGGTCTAAGCTGAAGCATTTGGAATGAAAGAAGACTGCAAATGCAGCCTTGTAACGCACAGGAAAATCCAGAATGCCTGGAGGCAAAAACTTTTTAGTGATAATTCCTTACATTTATATAGCACCTTTTATTCCCTAGAACCCCAAGCACTTCATTAACTCTATGCAAAAAGCTTCACAATGGAAATATAGCCACTGTATGCTATATTTGAAAATTTCATTTTCAGTTGACTCATTTCTTTCAATAATAACATATTCTGCTTATCCTGTCTACAGCAACCAAAACAACAACAGATAAAATACTAAACTACAGTTTTCACTTGTAGAACAATTTATACCTGTATGGTTTACAAAATAGAAATGCACTCATGTAATGGATACATTGCATTTAGTCCATCCATTTTCATTCTCCATTTATTACTTTGATCTCATCTTTATATCATAGCACTTGGTAGACAATTTTGTCTTCCATAAGATTTTCAAAATTGCAATGATTCTTGATATCTGAATTTCAGACAAAAATGGGCTTTATAGGAAAAAGTAGCATCTTTTATTAAATTTGCTACTATAAATTGAAAAAACAGAGAAGCTTTTGAGTACCTAAGATATAATGTTGGGGGGATTTTTAAGCTAAGATGGTTGTATAAATAAAAATAATCCCTTATCTTTACCTATAATCCCCTATCTTTACCTATAAAGTTTGTCTTGTCTTTGCCTTTAGAGCATCACAACAACAACAAGCACCCAGAAACATAATGTGAAAGATATCTGTGTGTTATTGCTCAACTTGCCACAGAGTTTTTCTTTTCACCCTACAGTGATGTTTCTGGTTTCTTGGCCTTTCTTACAATGACATAGTACTGATTTCACTAATAGCAACAAATTTAGGAACTCAATGTACTGGTTGTTTCAACAAACAGTAATCAACATTATTTCCATTGACATTTTAGAAGAATTAATAACAGAATTAATTGGACCAGTTTGATTTATTTCAACATGGTAAAAACTGGAAGAGGGAAAATAATTTTCCCAATTTTTTTTGCTGTTTGAGCTGTTGATTCATGTTTTGTTGGCTTGCTTGTTTCACAGGTTCTTTTGAAATACAGTTGTCAACGTTAATTAAAGAGGATTGTATAGTCTTGTCTATTTTTTAGACAGAACAAAAAATGTATTTTATTTATAAATTTAGTCTCTGCTATAAATCAAGATATTCTAGT